CCAGAGGCTCTAGGTTCAGGTCCCACTCAAGGGCTTGGTGGCCATTGAAGGTGTGTTCATAATGCAACCAGACTAATAAATTGTTATATGCAAAATCCCTCCAACAGGCCTATGGCAGGTCATGAGAATGGGAGAGAGTCTTGGTCAGCCTTGCTGAATGCACAGTGGTGTCCCTCAAGTTATATCCTCTTGCTTCAGTTTGACAACCTGTTTCAGGACAAAACAAGCTGTTGAAAACAGGCATAGGTCATACCTCAAGCCCATCTAAATAGGGGAATTATTTCAAGGCGCAATACATGACTCAGCAACCTCAATGTATGGGACTCTAATCACAAAACAAATGGGCAACAAGTCTTTCTGTTCATATTCTGCTTGAATTGTCAAAGCCATTCTAAAGAAAGTCTGGCTGCATTTGGGACATGAAAGAAATCACTGCCCCAATTCCCAATATTTGCTACACCGCATTTTAATTTCAAAATTTTGATCTTTCAAACATATTTTTCCACAATGCAAAAGCAAATTGTCCAAAACAAGGATTGCACTTGATAAAATGTTCTGCTTGTGTCTTTGTTTTCTGTCCACACATCATACAACATGGTCTGTTAAAGCATCCGAAAATCAGAATCTTTAACTGACGTACCATTTGCCAATACAATGTCTACATGCAATACTGTTAGACAAATCTTTATTTTGGGAGGTTAAACATGGGCCGAAGGGGATGTTTCTGTGCTGTCAACCTCTGGATCTAACATACACACGATTACATCACCTGCATTGTGACAATATATGCTTCAACGTGACTTCAGTCAATGGATGGTGTGCTTGCAAACACCTCTATCAGATGGCTTTTCCTCCTTTAAGCCAGTCATATTGGGCACCGTGCTTTTCCAAACATCATTTGTTGACAGCTCCGAATTAAAAAGATTCAGAATTACACTTAATTACACTAAAATACACAGAATTATACTAAAAAGAACTCTGCAATTTTCATCTCTGATGAAAATGATGAGGAGTCATAAAGTGACCTGCTTTTGAAATCACAGCCTGCATCTCCAACATCTATCAGGTAGGGTCAGTTAGTGCTTTGGAGTCTGATCAGCACAACTTCGCCACAACTCAGTGACCCACTGATGTCTGTAAGATACTGAATCCTCTGCCTCCATATCAAAAACCGACCAGAGGGACTTCAATCTGTTAACATCTACTTCCCCACACCGCACGAGCAAGGAAATTCATCGCCTTTTCACCCAAGTTAAACTTGTCTTACCTTTCACATCTTGGGCTGGGCAGTCGCTAGGGAACTCCGCTTGTTCGGGTCTGCCGTCCACTAAGAAGTAAATGACCTTTGTTGTTGTCATTGCCGGTCTGAGAGGGGGAAAGAGCTTCCAGTCAGATGTGTATGATGAGAAGCAGCAGGATGCTGCCTGGGAATGTCTGGCAAATGCGGGCAGACGCGGAATGAGCAGCGCTGACTGGGGACATGTATCACCAACAAAAGCAACACGCACAGAAACTGGAGTTTAAACAGTCAGTCGATTTGGAACATGTGATACAAGGAGAGAGCAGAAAACAAATCGAGCGCAGGGATCACCCATCAACCACACAATCTAACGCACACACATTCAAACACCTTGACAGTGCATCTGACAGAAACATAGTCATTCACACAGTACAATTAACACACCCTGCCACAGATCAACGCAACTAACACATACACAACCATTCGCACAGTGCAACATACACACTTGTTACTCACAGTGCAAGGAACACCATGTCGCTCACACAGTCCAACACACACACCCTCTAACTCACACAGCGTAACTAACAGTCACAAACAATGTAACGTACACACACGCCTAACACACACCGAGTAACTAACAGACACAATGTAACTTACACACACACCTAACTCACACAGTGTAACTAACATGCACACCTTCTAACTCACACAGTGTAACTAACACACACACATCTTTTAACTCAGTGTAACACACACAGTCACACACGGTGTAAATAAGACAGAGACCCTGTCACTCACACAGCACATTAAGCACATATATATTCAGCCACTCACACTGTGCATTTAATGCACAAAGTCCTAGCCATCTATAGAAACATGCAGACCTACAACACAGAGGGACACTTTTTGGTCCACTGGATCTGTCCTGGCTAAAAAGATTAGTTCCATTGATTTTGCTTTAAACACCTGATCCACAACATGTAGGCTACAACACCTCAAGGGCATATTTCAATGCTTTGTCAAACTGATGGGGCTTTTTATCTTGACCACACTCTCAAATAGTGATTTCCAGATTCCCATTAATCTCTGAGTTAATTACTCCAATTCCCTCAAATGTGTGTTCAAATTTGTTTAAATCTGTACACCAGTTATTGACTTCTCTACTAATGAAATCTGTCCTTGGTATCCACCAAAACCCATCATAATTTTAAACATCTCGATTAAATCTCCTCAACTCTAAAGAAACTATTTCCAACCAATCCAGAATTTCACCATTGCTAAAATTCTCCATTATTGGCAACATCTGCAGATACTGAAGCAGTGCACATGCTGCAAGATCTGGACAACATTTGGCTTGCATTGATAAGGGGTGAGTAACATTTGTACCACACAATGCAAATAACCATCTCCAAGTGTGAGGTCATCTATTTTGGTAGGAATAACAGCAAAATGGACTATGTTTTAAATGGTAAAAAATTGCAGCATGCTGCTGTGCAGAGGGACTTGGGTGTCCTTGTGCATGAATCGCCAGAAGTAGGATTGCAGGTGCAGCAGGTAATTAAAAAGGCAAATGGAATTTTGTCAGTCATTGCTAGTGGGATGGAGTTTAAAAACAGGGAGGCTATGCTGCAGCTGTATAGGGTCCTGGTGAGGCCACACCTGGAGTACTGTGTGCAGTTTTGGTCTCCTTACTTGAGAAGAGATATACTAGCACTGGAGGGGGTGCAGAGGAGATTCACTCGGTTGATTCCAGAGTTGAGAGGGTTGGATTATGAGGAGAGACCGAGTAGACTGGGATTATACGCATTGGAATTCAGAAGAATGAGGGGAGATCTTAGAGAAACATATAAGTTTATGAAGGGAATAGATAAGGTGGAGGCAGGGAGGTTGTTTCCGCTAGCAGGTGAAACTAGGACTAGAGGGCATCACCTCAAAATAAAGGGAAGCAGATGTAGGACTGAAGTCAGGAGGAACTTCTTCACCCAAAGGGTTGTGAATCTGTGGAATTCCCTGCCCAGTGAAGCGGTTGAAGCTACCTCGCTGAATGTTTTTAAAGCAAGGCTAGATAAATTTTTGAACAGTAAAGGAATTAAGGGTTATGGTGAGTGGGCGGGTAAGTGGAGCTGAGTCTCAAAAAGATCAGCCATGATCTTATTAAATGGCGGGGCAGGCTCGAGGGGCCAGATGGCCCACTCCTGCTCCAGTTCTTATGTTCTAACGAAAGCAAATATAACCATTTCCAGTTAATGGGCCTACCATCACTGAATCTCTAACTATCCACATCTTGGTGAAAGCTGCTGATCATAAACTGATCTGGACCAGTCATCTAACTTTTTTTTCCTTTATTCATTTATGGGATGAGGGCATTGCTGGCTAGGCAGCATTTATTTATTGCCCATCTTTAATTGCCCAGAGGGCAGTTCAGAGTCAACCACATTGCTGTGGATCTGGAGTCACATGTAGGCCAGACCAGGTAAGGATGGCAGTTTCCTTCCCCTAAAGGACATTAGTGAACCAGATGGGTTGTTCGACAATCAACAATGAATTCACGGTCATCATTAGATTCTTAATTCCAGATACTTACTGAAATCAAATTCCACCATCTGCCATGACAGGATTCAAAACTGGGTCCCCAGAGCGTTATTTGGGTCTCTGGATTATCTGTTCAGTGATAATATCACTAGGCCATTGCCTCCCCTCTCAAATAATGTGACTACATGAATATAAGAACAAATCAAAGGCTACTGTGAGTAATTCACCTCCTGTGTCCCTAGAGCCTGTCCATTAATTATTAGGCACAAGTTAGAAGTGTGACAGAATACCACTTGTCTGGATGTGGAGCA